GGTGGCCGTTCCGACAAAAGGCACGAAGCCGCCCGAAGACCACCTCAAGCATATTCGATGATTTCGATCGAGACTATCATAATCCACAGTGATTTGTGCATTCTCATTATAGATACCTATATAAAGACACTAATCTTTTTATCTTTCGTTTCTCTCGGCGATTTTATTGCAGGCTTCCTCTCAGAAGAGATAGAACAATTCCATCGAAGAGAGAATTATATCAAGAATTCAATATATTACTGCTCGGGTAAGATGGCCATAGTTTTTTAAAATGCAATAAACATACATTTATTTTTGTTATATTTTAACAGTGTTTGGTATATCCTTTCACTGAAGCTTAAAGTACGTAAAACTATCGAAATTAAGAAGAAAACACAACATAAATTTTATATTATCAAAGTATTACAACGTATGCATTGGCCATCTTATCTGACTTTTAAGGAAAAGATGGCCACAGCAGAAAAGATAACCATAGTATTTTTAAATAAATAGTAAAAAATAGAAATACAAATTATAGGTCAAATTACAATTTACATAGCTTAATTATGTGTGTAACGTTGATTACGGCAGTTTAACTATAATTTATTTAATGTTATAGCAGCTTTTAGCGGACACATGAAAAACTTTGCAGGCAGTCGAAAGTAAAAATATGATATAATATTCACAATATTGTTATTTCGAATAGTGTACGCACGTAAATATTGATTATTTTTGAGAATGACTACAAAAATGCACTGTTTAGCCATTATTGGAGAAATTACAGCCATGGGCCATCTTTTCCGTATGGCCATCATACCCGAGTTTACCCTATTAATCAAATTGTAGTACAAATTTTAGACGAAGAGGAAAAAGATAAAGGTTTATGATTATATTGCTCTCCACGTTTTTATGTGAAGAATTTGGGATTACATTATGCAGAATACCAATACGTTGCTTAATTCAAAAGCGTTTCATTAAGATCCAATAACGCACAATGTTACGCGCGCGGTCATAAAATCCGGATAAAACGGCACGGTTCTGTCTCGTCGTGTAACACATGTATACATTATCCGCAAGGTCCGGGCCATGAATAGGAAAAAGGAACAAGCCCGCCTTCGGACGAGAAGCGATCTTCCACCCTACGAGGTATTATTTTCGTGACTTCGTCCGTCTCTCACTTTCCCCCCTCCCCCGTTTCCAGTCCCGCCCGCCCCAGGAAGATGATTCATTCACCCGGCCAAAGGAGAAGTCGGCGTGCGCGCAGGTTCGAGGACCCCGAACAAGCGTTCGAGGAACGACGGCGACTCGACTCGTTAATCCGTGAACAATGAAGGATTCGAGCTTCAGTCCCGCTCGACGCGAGTACCATTCGCTGCTCCTTTTCACGTTCGATACCTCATCGCAAGGGTTAGAGGTGGCGTCGATCTACGACGGGCGATAACTTGCTCGTTTCATCCCGACGCTATTCGAGGGAGGCAGCTTGACGCGCGGTCTGATCCTTCCGTGATCCTTCGACAGGATAATTTCTCTTTTTGGTGATCCACGCGAGTTGATATAGCATGCGATATATATCATAAACACGCTGACTCTGATACAACTTTCTAAATATATTATCAAGATGTTATACGTTATTTTTTATATTATTAAAAATTATTTTAGTTTGCTGTAAATATCAAGAAATTCTATTATCGGGAACACAATTCCGAGCTTTTTATCAATTTTTATAATTGTCTAAATTGTTACGGGAAACGCTTTATTATAGCGATCACAAGCGTCCATGTAATTTATCTTTTACCCTATGTTTTTGTACATTGTAAAATATATTAAATATATTTTCTTCATCGATACTGCTTTGAATACTAATGAACTTTCTGCAACGATGGAGATTGTAACTCCTCCTCTTTTATTCAATTTTTAGGAATTATTAATCGCGCTCGGACTGTTATGGAAGATACTTCGTTAACTATCGTATATCTTCCCGCATAATGGATTTTCTGTTTTCTATCGCATGCAAAATATATTAAATGCATTTTCAAGATTCCATTAAGAGTACTAATGAAATTTCATACGATCACGGTCAGTCACCTATTACTCCACCTCTTTTGCCGCGAGGAAAGGCAGCATGTCGGCGAAAAAGACGCACACGAATTATACGGCGGCAATCTCTCCTCTTCTCAATGTTTGATGATCATTTGTAGCCGTCTACTAATTATTGCGCAACGCGGTCTCGGCCCTCTCACTGTGTACGGCGAGATAAAGGTTGTCCATCAGTCGGCCTTTTTCGGCACAGACAAATTAATTTATTCCACCGGACGCCTTCGCGTGGGAGGCGGGGCTGATCCTGATGCTCGGCTGTGCCAATCAGTAGCGCAAACAGAAGTTACACGTGAGATGAGTTAACGGCACCAATCAATGCGTGGGAATTTTCTTCTTAGCAAACCAGGAAATAAGTTTTAACTTTTCTATATATTGACACTTTGCGGAAAATTTTTCTTTCTCAAGTTATTGCAATTACTAATATGCAAAGACAAATCATTATTATTTTTATCACCTATGTCTTTGCTTTTTCATAAAAACTATAAAATGGTTTGAGCTAATAAATACTGATTAATATTATTGATATAATATTTAAAATAGTGCTAACAAAATTAATTACTAGATATATAATAATTTTTACTAATTTTAAAAAAATTGCTTAGTAATAAAATTACGTGTATTATTTTAATTCTAGAGAAATAACAAGTACAAAATTATTAAAGTAAAGATTAAGTAGCGTCATTTTTAGATTGTCACAATTTTTACTAAATATAAAAAAGTATCTTTCTTTCGACTTAGGTGGTCGTGTCTTGCAAAACTACAAAGGCAATAACGACAACACCGATGTATCGTATCGATTTAACATCGATTCATGCGATTAAAAAAACAATCATGAGCAGCGTCGGACGGCCGTAAAATTAATACGCGCGATGAACGTTAACGAGGACCATAAATATATTCCCCCGCGTCCTGCTTATTCGCCGATTAGCATAATCATTCCCGATATTCACGGACCGTAATTTAAAAATGTCGCAATGAATCGCAACCAATCTTCTCTTCATAAAAAGTACAACGAAAGGTACAGTGTACCAGAGGATTATTACCCGAAGAGAAACACCTCAGGCTGCGGATCCTAAATCTCATGTTACGAAGAAGCACTGTGTATTATCTTTCAGAATAATCTTAATTATAATGCTTCATTCCATAACAAACTGACTTTCTTATTGTGTATTACCAAATTATATAATCAATTACAAAAAAGTGAAATAAAAAATCAACTTTGTTACCTTTAATATAAAAGCTATACCTTTCTTATTGTTCATTTTCCTCTATAAATTAATTAAATATTGATATAACAAACATTAGTCGCGACGCAAAATTACGAATACAAGCACATTATTTGATAGTCGATTTCATCGTTTTTTCTCGTCAAAAATGTTTATTTTATTTATAGGAGATAAGAATTCGGTTGCACATATATTATTAATCCGTTGTTCAATCAAATTTTTTAGTTACGGACCATTATGGGAGAATTGGCTTTTATAAACACCCACGACGCGATCACATGCGGAAGATATCCCGAACGGATAGGAAGAATTAGGCTTGCAATCAGCGTCCAATTAAGGGCCAAGGTTGCAATGCGGCCCACCAACTCCGCGTCTCTTAATTACACAGCGAGATTTCGCCTATCTTAACGTGTTCATTATTGTGGTGCCGGTTGTACGGGCGTATTAACGTATCAATTTTGCTCAGAACCCTGTCGTATCCCGAGGGAGGACCAATTAGCGAACCATGCGCACGTGTTTGCCAATGAAACATTCAATATTTAATTACTACTCAATAAGATTTCTGAGGTTTAAAAGAAAAATGTTCCAAACAATCTAGATATTTATGCATATATCGCACTAATTTTTCTATTGTATATATTATTATCTTATTATAAAACTACACAAACTTGACAGAAAATCCAACAATGATTAACTTTTTAATTTTATTATTTAAATACAACTTTATACGAAATTAATTTTCTTTTGCGTTTTTATTTTTATCATACGACGGTGATAAAAGAGCATAATTATAGAGCTTAATATTTATTTTTACCTTCTTAAGAAATTTTGTAATATTTGCAAATGTTTAATTTTATATTTGAAAAATCACGTTTATAAATATAATACTTTCAGGGCATTTAATTAACGATGATTTATTTTGGTATTTATTTTGTAATTTCGAATTTCTATACGTGGAATAAAATTCCTCCTCGTCAAAGCTCGTTTAGCTCACCCTGCTTGCTTGTCGCGTCGGCACTTCATTCTGATCCATTTCGAAGTACTTTCGAGCTACGTCCTCATTACTAACGGTCTCTCAAAAAAAAGGGCTGCCGTGCTCGTTAAAACGTTTTTCTCAGCCGCCACTCACAATTTGTTAAAGGACGAGGAGCTACATGGGGCATACCTGCGAGCCGGCACGTAAATTTCCGGAAAGGGATCCTCTAAAGCCTCTCTATCTTCTTCATCTTACCGTATACATATCTTTCTCTGTCTCACTTCGCACAATCGGTTTCGATTCTCTCGTTTCTTGTATCTATCTCTTTCTCCGTCCATCTCACCATTGTCGGCAAACGATATAAATCGACACCAAAGAGCATAGTACAAGAAACGAGTATCTAACGAGAGGACAAAAGTCGTTTTACGATTTTTCGGAGGACGAGGACAAAAGGACCTTTAATGCGATATAATGCGCCATGGGAAAAAAGAGATAGACGCAGAAAACGACGTAAAAGCAAAATCAGATGTGAATATAAAGCATCGCAAAACGGTGCTTCAAAAATTATTTACTTAAAATTATTTCACTTATCCCTTTAAATTCATTAAAACCGCAAGAATTATGTTGAGTATATTATTATATATAATCTTTGTGATAAAACAATTTGTATAAAATTTCTCTTTTCCGGCCTATATTCACACACCTATCGCTTAAACACCTACCTGTTTCAGGTCCAAGAGGATTGTTATGTATTCGTAATGGTCGCCTCTGGCTAACGTAGGGCTTTGCCACCATTTACCGGGACTCGAGTCGAGGATGTTGCTGATGTTGTGCCTCTTGCCAGGATCCGGACTCCTGGCGTCGCAGACGGCGCATCTCGACGATTCTGAGGGCTTGCAAAATGTCTCTGGGCCCTCCTCACCGCAAGTTGCGTTTACGTAAATGTCCGCTTTCGCGGCGACATTGAACGTGGACGGAAAGAGACCGCTAGTTTTCGAGCTCTTACTCAGGCTGTATGGACCTCTCTGAGCTGAAAATAAAACGGAAAATGCTCGTTAGTTTAAAATACAAAAGAAAAATTATGCGATACATAATAAGAGACATAACTATTAAATATTTTGATATTTTAAATGTCATAATATTTTTTATTTTACACTATAAGTTTGTATCATATATTATGACTTTTTAACACAGTGTTATAACTGTCATCATAATTAATTGCCAATATAAAACTAAAGCAACGTGGTCTTTCTAAAGGTCCTGTTGAGTCTGTTATCATCTAAACTACTGTCAAGATTCCGAAATAGAGCCGCACGTCGTTAAAACTTCGTTAATTCTCTTTTAGTTATGTTTTACGAGACTACTGGTATCTTTTATTGATGAATCGGTACACTGATACAGAGCGTTGATACACAGCGTTGATAAATCATCGTGAATCTCAGTGCCTTAGCTATGTTTATTCCACAAGCGTCTGCCTGTGAGGTCGGAGGTGTACATTAACGTCTCGTAAATTCGTTTGATGCGAAAAATACATCAAGGAAAAGCTAATTTTAAATTCGTCTTCTAAAAGTCTTTCTTTGAGATTTATATTAGATAGTCTATAAATTTGTAATCAATAAAAATTCATTATACTCGCTGTTCATAATTTTTAAATAGATAGTTATATCACTTGTAATTTATAATATAAATAATAAATATTCCGTTTATTCCATTTCTTTTTTGGAGAAAAATTGTAACAATAATTTTCAAAATTTCTAAAATGTTAACTAAATAAAAAATTGCAAGAGAACATTTTATCTTGATTAAAAATACATCCTGCTTAATAGATTACAATTTTACGTGTGTCATAAACTTCTAATAGTTATAATTAATTTTATAAGAAACGCTTCTCACATATCCGCCGCATGCGATATCCGGAATATGTGCAAGCTCCGTTCGATCAAAGACGTCAATTACAACATACTATAACACGCGCATGTAATTACATTCGGACGAATGTCAGTTGTAATTACAATACACCAAAAAAGTCGATATTTTTCGTGTACGGGCGACGTCGATCGACGCAACATCTCCGATTGGAAAAGCCGCGTGAGCGGAGGATGAAAAGAAGAAAGAGTAAAAGAAAAAAGAAACGTATAATCGAAGCGACGTGTCCCGATCCCGTCATTTTCTGCTAGGCAACGTATCCATCAACAGGTTTTGACAGAGCGCAACGCGAAACCAGTTGCGGAGCAGCGTGGAGATGCAGCGCGAAGATGTAGCGAACAGGTTCGTCGTCGCGTCGGTTCTCCGGCGGCGACACCTGAACGGGTTACCCGCGTGTATGTACATCGTGCGACACGTGAAGAAACGTGACGAGCCTATCCCCGGGAGAAAGAGAGAGAGAAAGAGAGAACAGCGCGCAAGAGATAAAAGACACTTTGCCGGTGATAATGAATTGATCATCGTTCGCATCGTGGAAATTGCAACGGCAGAAGCAATCGGTCGGGTTTTCTTTTTCCGACACGACTTGAGAATTGATTAGCGGTTGACAGAACTTTAATAACTCGTCGGACGTTTTTATTCGCCTTTGGATTGATGACATATACGTAAATTATCTCTAATCCTAGGCTCGTTATTATTTACGCTAGAAAATGTCGACGCTAATACATGCCATCTCGTGATTTGATATCATGATTTTCTTGAACCTTTAAATAAAATAAATATCGAGAATTCTTTTGTATTGCGAGTGAGATCTTGATTTTGATCTCAGATTTTAGATATATGTTGAGAATTATGCGTTGTATCCTGCCAAAAATCGCTGTTATTAGTCAGTATTATATGTTGCGGGTGTACGTATACGACTCACGATCCATCACACTTGATTAATGTTCACTGCGTGCGGATTACACGCCGCCACGTAAGACCGCATGGCGGTAAATAATGATCCTTCGGTATCACTCATTTAAACAATATTTAATAACAGCCCAGGTTAAAGCTTACACAGCCGATATAGCGAGGGAAAGATCGTTAACGACGCTTTCCAAGCGCTACGTAAAACGTGCTAATCAGATTATAATCGCATTGCAATATTTCACGTCGCTAACGAGCCTTTTGCCATATTCTCGATTAACTCGCTTTTTTGAATACACGTTTTGCAATATTAATGCATGAGAAAGATAGATGAGTCTCTAACATATTTATGTACTTATGTAAATTATGTACTACTTGTAAAGCAAGAAAATTTAAAAGCTTGTGATAATTTGCTAAAAGACTTAAATTTAAATTTTAAAATAAACTTTTTTTGTAACCTCGCATTAAGTTTGAGATTATTCTCAAAATTAATCAGTATACTCTTTGTACACAAAAGCGACATGCGCACATAGTACGCAGAAAGCATCCCACGCGAAGTCATCTCGTTCATCATACCAGAAAATCCCTAACAAAACAAATGCCCGCCACGTAAAAGGCGAAGCCTTTCGCTCGCTGTTCTGGGTCCGGTGACGAATCTGTACGAGTCCCACTAAGCCCCCATGCGCACTCACGTATAGCTCCCTATTTCAAGAACAACGTGGCAGAAATCTCCCGGACGTGCTGCTTGCACCAAACTGCGCGCATTATGCGCGCGTGGAAAGAAAGCAACTGGGCGTTCGTCGGAGAACGAGCGGACGCGCATTGTGCGCGTGTCGGGCTGCAGTAGTCTGCCGACGAACCGCTCCTATTCCTCTCGTGACTAGACTATATTGTTTGAATCCGAAAGCGACAATAATGACATCTCTCATTAAAGGTACCTAATAATGTGCGAACATTCATTTCACTTCCAAATAAATGAGTCAACACATTTTATGACATTTTGTCAAATATTGTCAAAAAACAAAATTCTTCGAAAGATACTCTACGTTTTAAATTATACGTATAAAATAAATATGTACTGTTTGATGTACCAAAAGAGAGAAAAAATATCTGTACAGCTATTAGACCACATCAGTGAAATTGGATCACATCAGAAAAATATCATCAGTGCCTTCATATTTTAAACATGACAAATTTGTATTAAAGAAAAGCTTTCGTATATACTCGCAACTTTACATTCCATCTTCATTCCACATTCTTATGGAAATTCAAGGAACGATTTAAATCCAAACGATCGAGTTCTAGGTAACGCACTATCCTTCCCGTCCTTGAAGCATCCATCGATTATCGTGAATCACGATCGCCTCTCCCTGCCTCACCGATTGCACCCCCCATTGCACCTTGCAACTACTACCGTAACGATCGCTCTGCGAATTCCAAAGAGACGCGTTCGACACGCTGAAAGCGCTCCATACATTTCCAACGCACAGCAAACGCGTGAAACATTGAACGCGGGCGTGGTTCGCGTTGACACACGGGATTGGAGACGCGAGTGATCAGGAAATTGGCAGAGGCTTGGTTCGAGAACATTTACTACACAGTCATTTTGTCGTGAGCGATGTATCCTTCCGTTCATGAATTGGCCTGTCCGCCAATGTTTCAAGACACACGTCCCACGATCAAATTATGCAGCTCAAGCGAAACGCAATAATGAAATACAATGATTATTTACCGTGGCATTATAGAGATAATCACAAATGTGCGAAGGGAAATAAAAAATTAAAATAAAAACCTAAAATTGCAGCACAATAACATAGATATATGTATAAAAAAATGTTAGAAAATACTATTTTCAATAAAATATAAAATATTATAAGATTAAATCCATTGCATTTATTTTAAACGCTGTTAATTAAGAGCTTATATTTAGTGTTTGCTTCAGTCCCATTTTTTAGAATTTACTACGTCAAAATCAATTACTCCGAATTCTATAATTAGTCATCTACTTAAATATGTTTACTAAGAAAATATATATTCAAATTTAAAAGATGTGTCTTGTTACCGGCTTCCGTGCTTAGACGAGCACGCTCTACATTTAGAGTGCATCGCGCTTTCTCTTCTCTCGTGTCCAACTATATACTCCACTTTCTCATATGTACATATTCTCTTCTTATAATAGTCGCAACATGGCAAGGGGGAGGATCACGTGCACGGCGATTCCAGAAAAGGAGCAGAGACTATACGGCATTGTGTCATGTCTGCGCACGAAATCGGAGTCTTCTCTCCTGCTTCGTGCGCCTCTCTTCCTCTGCCTCTCTCGTACTGCCGTGAAGCGACTTAAACCTGCTACGAGTGACTGATGACGACAGAAATAACCCCTGTTCCGTCTTTCCGCCCGCCGGCCGGCCGGCCGGCGCGCGGCGTGGCACGACGCACGTGTCCACGTGCGTGTGTAGTAAACCTACGCAACGTCATGCGAGAGAGAGGAGACTGTGATTCGCGTGATTCGCATGCAAGCAACGCCAAGAGATATACCGAGTACGGAGAATGACGCGGTGTCGGTGCATCGCGCCGCGGTGCTGCACGCTCGATAGAGTTCGCGTCGTCGCGGTAAAGACTTCTGGTAATTACCACCGAAGAGTTGCCGTTATTATTAGGATCATGTCGTCGTAACCCTGCCTGCTCAGCGTCTTTACGATTTGTCAACGACCAAATCGATTATCCTAAGACGATATTATCCCGGGACAAGAAAAGATCAAAAAGCTTATTTGAATCTATAAACGGAAACTAAATAGAAGAAGACCGAGAAGAAGACAAAATAAATTTTAAACTTATTTTTACGATGTAACCAATATTATATCTAAACTTTGACAAAATTTATAATGGAAAGTTTTCAGTTATTCATTGTGTGCTTTCTCTAACAGGAATTAATCTTCCGAACGGTACATATATGACTCATCGAAAAGTCTAATCGTATACGAATAGAGAGCGCAGATTTATACCGAAAAACAATGACGACATACGGTCATTTGTTACGGTTCGTTACACGCGTTACAAGCTCATTGTGTTCTGCAAAAAGCAGCTCCTTCCTCTTGAAAATCAAATGAGACTCGCTTAACCCATTCTTCGTCAGGAAGAATTTTTTGTTCCGGTAATAGGTGCAGCGTGTCCTCTCGAAGAACTCGAGGGGCCGCACTT